GTGATTAGCGCCGCTCATGGACAGATGCACCTCAAGAGACACGGTCGAGCCTGGCCCATATGTGCCGTAGAAACTTTAGTTAAACTTACGAGCGTAAGATAAGAATGCACCCTATGTCATTCTTATCTTACTCTCGTATACAGGTATAGCAATGTTAAGACCATGGAGCAAATACAAAGAGGTGTTGTAATTAGATTTCCCTATGGAACAACGCGTGACTATTTGTGGGGTGAGGGGGTGTTAAGCTCCGCCCACTTCTATTAAATACATCTAAATACGAGTAATAGCACAACGACTTTTAATATCGATGTTGCTATTTAGTTTAGCTATCTCGCACTAAGTGTTACTTCTATTGCAAAAATCTTACTCATATTATAGTAATGGGTATTGCTAGTGTGAGAATAAAAACGTTTGTGGTAAGTTACGAATGACAATTAAAATTTGTTCTCTTATTTATTATTTTATCTAAATTTATGTGTACGGCTTATCTTATTGTTGAAAAAAAAAGTGTGATATTATTTCCACCCATAGTTAAATATACTTAATATTTTTGAGGAAGAACAAATAATAAACAAATAATGAATGTAACTTTATCTACAAATTAAATAAAATTAAAATATTTTATTTTAAATTAGGTTTTTATAAATTATTTTACACTAAATTAATTTAGTGAATGCACTTTTGAACGCCAAACTGAGAAAAAACAATTAATGAATAAAATTAATAAACGATACCATAATCACAGTTTAAAATTACTTTCAATTCGATGGTCTCTATTAATAATGTCAGAAGTATATTTTTACCAATATTCACTTTTTTACATAAATAGAATAAAAATAAAAAGTTATATGGTATTGTTACGTATTAGGGTTCGTTGAATTGAAATAATAAGCCTTCTGCCCACTAAAGAGACTTTATTTATCACTACACTTAAAAACGTTCACACAATACTCAAGAATAGTCCGGAATTATCGCCGAGGTCGCTGGGTCACATTTCTATTCATTTCAATAGCTTCGATGTTTCGATGTTTCGCACTGTAGTTCGAACTGAAATGAATAATAACAACGGTTTAAAAAAATAAGACGAGATAGTGTCTGTAAATGAGGATAAAAGAGGGAAGTACGAACATAAACCTAGAATAATTAATAAAATCATGGTACAAAGTATAAAAGACCCTGTGAATTGTTTAGATCGCATATATTCGCATTATTCACGTAAATATTCCACTGTACTTGAATAATATAAAAAGTACCTTACATATGTTCAAACTATATATTGAACGGTATGATTTTAATAAGTATACTAATCAAAGCCAACAAACTTCAATACCGTGACATTGCAAATGCTAATTTCAACTTACTTAAGACAACTTATTAAAAGACTTGTGTGAAGTTTGCCACATTTTTGCGAACAACCGATTTCCCACAGAAGAAGAAAAACAGAGTTTCCTGGAACATCAAGCGCGAAAGAAAAAAGTCCGAAAACTTAAACAAGCGGATAAAACAGAAACATGCGAGAATCCTCGAATTGTTATAGCTACATTCGATTGCCAAATAGTTTTGCGTACTCCGCATGGTGAGGTAAGCATATTCTACTACAAAAGGAAACTCAATACTTTCAGGTTTACATTGTTTGAGCTTGGAAATAAAATTGCCACTTGTTACATGTGGCATATGTATTGGCAGAAAAGGGGCTATTGAAGTTTCAAGTTGCTTGTACAATTTTAATAAAAGGCATGTCGTAAAAGGAGTGAAGGAATTTAAATTTTGGTCAGACTTGCGCTGGGCGTTCCTGATGATTGGTACTGCTTGGTACGTTGGGCGAAACAGAAGGAATGCCGTACAATGTGACAGAAATGACCTCACGCGACTTCTACAATTTCAAAGATGTGTTGGCGAATAAAAACTAGGTAAAAGACGTTACAAATAAAAAAACGAAGTGGACACAAATAAGAAGTTACAGGTAGTGTTTTTTTATAGGATAGAGTATAAATACGATTTCGATGACGTGCCGAAGACTTTAGTGGCTCTCCGGTTCACTAAAAGAAACACTCGACGTGCAAATGATTTTGAAATAACCCAAGCTTATTATGGTCCCGTTCTAATTCCTCATAAGTAATAATTCAAGTACAAAGAGCTTAATGATGTGTGCAGATCTAGTGTCATCCCCGAAAAATATAAAAGCTTTTATAGAGACTTGCCACACGATTCCAATAATGCAGCAGAAGAAGAAAGTGACTCAGAAGACGAGGAATGAACGGTTACGTTTTCTTTACTGAATTATTTTTGAATCTATACCTATTATTTTGATTTTTATGTTCCTGCTTAACAATTATAGTAAGATTGATGATAAGTGAATTACCATAAGCTTAGTTGAAGAGATTAGACTGACTTTTAAAGTACAAAACTAAGACTGAAGAACTAATAATTTATTATATTTAGCCTTAAAAAGTTTCTAAAGATATGAAATTTTTAAATTTTATAAAACTTTGTGATAGCTACCAGCCAACTAAAGGCCTTTTGACTGTTTTACTATATTTTATCGTGTTTTGATTAGCCATAGTTACAAATTTTATTTTTAGTAATAATTTTCTTTATAAGACAGTTTTCTTTTTTGTTTTGTTACGTACTTTACTTAATACCTACCTAAAGAAGAAGACAATCATGCTGTACACTTTTCAAACTATTTTTTAATTATGTTTAAGTATGTTGGGATGTGTGCCTAGAGGTGATTTCAAAATGTGCTTTCTTTGTTATATATTTGTGTTGATGCTAAACTGAAAATGTTAAATACATGCATGGACAAGTTGATTAAATGAAGTGTATTTTTTTTTTAATTTTCCCTAGTAAAACAAACACATACAACCAATATGTTTTTTAATTTTCATTTGAAAATTTTGTATATACCGCTACCTACTTAATTTACTGTAGTGTCACAACCGACAAATGACCTCTAAAATAGTTTGTGTATGTGTCTAAAATAGTAATGTATGATTTTGTCGGTAGTGCATTATTTCCTAAACTATCAGTTAATTCTGCAATTTGTCAATGTCAAAACTTAGTATATAATATAAAAAACAATCAGTGCAAACCTGCATTTTAAACCTCTAAAATATTGTAAAATATTCATTTTAATGATATCCAAAAAAAGCAATTTCAATCTACATTTAGTGCACAGCGTATCTAACGTATTTAATTAGATAATGAATAATAATGTATTGTTTAAAATAGCTTCGTAAATAACTCATTACTTTTTTGTAATATTTAAAAGATAAAAACGGATTGCGATACATTGTGGACTTTTTTGTAGATCTTTTTAAGAAAATCAATTCCGCAGTACATTATTTTGGTGTATCTCGTCAGATTTAGCCAGCGTTTGCTATGTAAGCGGCACAAGACAAATCTTTTTTTCTCTACTATAGTATTCATGCATTATACATATAAACCTTCCTCTAAGATATCTCATAAATTACCATTTCTTGGTTGACTTTTACGAAATGCTAAACATATTAAAATTTCTATAAGACTTTTTTGCAATTATGATGACAATTACAATTTAAATATTTCGTAAAAATTGTTAAAACTACTTTATTGAATTAACATTGGATACCAATTTCGGCCCGGTTTTTTGTTCTGATTATGTATGTTTTTCTATAGTTAAACCGCCGTAAGCTTGGCCCTCCTGATGGTTTGCGCGACGAGTGGCGGGTGATGCGCTCGGCTATACATGACACGATGTACTAACTCGATATCTTCAGATTTATTTGTTTGAGATTTAATCTACACAGGATGTAATAAAAATCGAATTTATTTCCATGTATTACAATGTCAGTGTATTGTAAGTTTTTATGATTAATTGTAAAATTTAATACTGTAAAATAATTTTAATAAAATCACCTTATCTTCATCATGTTTCATCATCTTCATAATATTCAGATACAATTTAAAAATTAAGTAAAATAATAAATATTTTTTATTAGAACTTAAACAGTAGAACCTCTGTAAGCCGAACTTCAAGTTTTTAAATCTTTTTGTGACGCAGAGTCGGCAGATTATCCATGTTGCAAAATAATACCGTGTGTAGCAGTCTTAAGAAAAATAACACGTACAGCCATGATTTCACGTCAGTCACTGCCGGCGGACAGCGACGCTGGTTGAATGCACCCCCGCCCCGCGGGGGTGCACTCAACCAATTAGCTAGTGCTGATTTGTATTTTTAGTTTAAATTGCACAAAGTTTAGTCATCTAGTGACGTATAACTATATTTCAAAAAACATGATTTTTCCAGAACTATTTTAATAAATTAAGTATAAAATTACTTACAAATGAAATGCGATGGCATCCATAGCAACAAAAAGTCTATCTGAATTATTTTAACACGTTAAAATACAATATTTCATCCTTTTCTTGTTAATAAGTACTACGAAAATATACCGATTGGCGATTTTGCCACACTAATGTTAAACCACGCCCACTGAGTTAGAATCACAGTTAGAATCACAGTGCACAGTTGCTTATGCCTTCTCCTCTTTGTATTTGCTCCAATGGTAATGCATTTTGTAAGGTTCTAAATTCTACCCACAGAAAATATTTCGAAAAATGACAGTAAAGAGGTAAATTGTCACATAAATTGACTATAGAGAAATTATTTTTTAGCCCACCTCTTACTACACTTTATATTCACATCTATATTGATGGACTTAGTAATATGCGTGGGAAGGCATATATGCGGAAGACTGAGAATGGTTAAATATGTTATTTTTGGAAGGGATTAAAAAATTACCAGATTTTTATTTATTCATCAGTTCGGGTTCATTTTTTTCACTTAACATAGGTATGCTATGTGAAAATGTTAAATTTTTCGTTCACAATATCTATAGAAGCCACTGTATCAATTTATTTAGTTTTTGCATGTAAAAGTGACAGTTAAATACGAGTTCACCCATTATTTAAGTATTATAATCCACATACTCTTATTCTAATATTTCTGCAGGTAGATAATGTCGTGGTTACGTTATGCAAGTTTCCGACGAGTGTTTTCGCGTCTGTATGCTATGTTTGATCCTATTGACTTAGTCACGGGCCTTGAAAAACGGGAACTTACCGCTCACCTTGCGGGAAACTGCGATCCATTCTATATAAGACCAATCAAGAAAGGTATTTTTACAGTATCATTCATTAATTTTAAAACATGTCTTTAGTATGTAATGCTACAGAATATTCCTTTCTTCGATGTTGATTGAAAGTTAAAATATACCTACTCGTATTTGTTCATCAGGCACGCTTTATGCCTAAAGTAACCTATCGTCATAAATTTTTTTCTTACGCGTTAGTAGAGGTGAATGAAAAAAAGAATATTATTACGGGGGATACCCTATTGAGAAAATCTACATTAACCGATGAGCACAAGTTCCTTAAGTATTGTGATAAATTGGAATTTTTTCTCTTCCATAATATGCATGTATTATAGATATAAACCTACCTCTTGAATCACTCTCTCCATTGGTGAACAGCATTAAAATCCGTTGTTTACATTAGAAGATCTAGTGTACAAGAAAAAAAGCGACTTCATTTTATAAATAACGAAATATAATAACAATATTTCGGACATCTGACATACAACGCCATCTAGTTTCACACTAGGCAGAGTTTGTTACTATGAAAGCTAGATTGACTGATAGAATACTTATATACTTTTTTCGTAAACACATACATATTATATCTGCATAGAAAACATCAAAACTCCGAAACAAATATTGGCACATCATCCAAACATTTGGTCAGACCCGGGCCAGACCCGGGGATCGAACCTGAGAACACCCGAGACGCATAGCAGTCGCATACGCTACCACAGCACCACCGAGACAGTCATATATATTTATAACTAGCTGAGACCCGTGGTGTTACCCGCGTTTGTTGTTATAACCGCGGGCAACGCCGCGGGGCGAAGCTAGTCTAAAAAAAGTAACCTTAATTTACTCCTTATGTCGTCAGCTATCTGGCAGTGAAAGTCCCATCAAAATCGGTCCAGCCGTTCCAGAGATTACCCGGAACAAACAGACAGACAGACAGACAAAAAATGTAAAAAATGTTATTTTGGCATATGTACTGTGTAAACATACATATGCATTTAGTAAAAAGCGGTTATTTTAATATTACAAACAGACACTCCAATTTTATTTATTTGTATAGATAATTATGTAATCGTACCTTAAAATTAAATACATTTTTTATGTAATAGTTAGGATGTAGAAATCATCAAAATATTTTATTTCACCTCACTAATCAGTAGTAGTGGTTATGGTGTTGAAATTTTATCAGTACCTATGACAATCAAGAAATAGTCTTGTTAGTCACACTGGTATAACAATCTGGTGAGCCAATTACTGCTAATTTGCTGATTTTCACTAAGAACCATAGGTTACTTCATGACTTACATCAAAAAATTATAATATTGTAATACACTTCTTTATTTTCATCGTCTATATTTCTAGGTCCAGGAACTTTTCGTCGTCCAAACTTGATTCCTAGCGTCAACCCTTGTCGGTTAGTAGCTTGTTCGTGCAGTCCGTTCGACCACCATGTAGAATTCATGTGGCTGTTCAACGATCGCCCTAAACGGTGTGGATGCGGTCATTGGTTTGAACTTTGCCCTGTTACAGCTATAACACCGCCGCATCATGTAAAATAAAGATGATGATAAAAAAAAAACATGTGACTGAAGCCTATGGACAAGGCTTCATCTGGCGTGCATAAAGGTGTTTCGTTTTGAGTCGTGTAGTAAAATAGTGGCATAATTTAATTCAAATTTAAACGAAATAATATTAAAATGAAATGAATTCAAATAAGTGAAATATTAGAAGAATTATTAGAATTCGAATTTTAATGAAATACGTTTATATTTTCAATGAGTTAAATAGTTGCTATTAAATTGTGCTATTAAATTACAAGTCAGTTCTTTTGGAGTTTTATTCAACCAAAACATGTGTATCTAGAAGTCAACAATTATCTTAAGATATAAATGTAAAGGAGGTAAACCTCCTTTCTAAGGAGAGGCCTATGTCCAGCAGTGGACTATTACAGGCTGTTGATGATAAATGTAATATTTTTCTATTAAATATCAATCTCATACAATATTTTTTGGTTCAAACCCGATTATTTTCAGTTTAAAATATAAATCAAAAAGTCGAAAATAATAAATCGACTGAACATAATTAATTTTGTGTCTAAAGCCTCAATAACTCATTTGAGTTCCGAGCCTCCCAGGCCGCGAGGGCTCAAGTATCTATAGACAACTGAATGGTACCTATCAAAGAAAATACGACAATCTCAGTATACAGTATAGAGTTTATTATAGTGAACTGGGCTACAGATTAAAGTGAGTTCTCTAACATAATTGAGTGCTTCCGGAATTGCGCACAAGGAGCCTAAGTTATGATTCAGTTAATTAGTGTACATTGTTAAAGTTCCGTATATAAAATTTACGTGAACTTACGGCAGCGAAATACGCGATACAATATTTATTTTTAACCGACCTCAAAAATACAAGAGGTTCTCAATTCGACTGCATTTTTTTTCTGTATGGTTGTTAAGCGATATCTCCGACAACTGATGACCGATTTTCGTTCTTTTTTTGTAATCGAAAGCGTTTACTTCCGCGGTGGTCCCAGTATCACCAAATCAGGATCTGATGTGGTGGGATCCCAAAGAAATCAAGGGAAACCCTGAAAAAACAATAACGGGTCTACAAGGTGAGGTTACCGGAGCCCAAATCCGCTAAACTCGAGCAGGAGGGACTCCAAGGGCAGCAACGCACTTGTGACTTGAGTTGCAGGTGTCCATGGGTGGCGGTAGTTACTTACTATCAGGTGAGCCATCTGTTCGTTTGCCCCCTTATACCATAAAAAAAAAAAATATTAACAAAAAAATATTTGGAATCAAACTACATCGTCTTGTAGTTTTTTTAGAATTGGTCTTTGTATTGTTTTACATAAGCATAATAGGCCATTTACACGCATGGTGAGCCTCGACCAGCGTCTCTCGTATGCTCTCTCTCGAGCGTATGCTCGTCGTCATCGGTACAAAAGTATATATGTACATATAGTGTGGGTTTTTAAACACATTAAAGGAAACTCACGTATTTACACGTTGGCGCGTGCTTGTTCCCTGCTGCTCAATTTGATATTACAAATATTGTAGTTGAGCAGTCGCGAAACAACATTGTCTCAATACTCTTCTGATTGAGCAGTTTAGTTGAACAGTAGGGCTAGAGGTTTTTTTTTAGTTTAGTGACGCCGAAAGTTAAGAAAAGTCGAAGCATGTGTAAAAAAATGGTTGATTCTTTTTTCGGCAAATCAGGACATTACACTAGAGTATCGTTTGTAGATCAAAGGACAGTGACTGCAGATTTGTACGTCAACACTAGCTTGTCAACCAGAGTCTTAAAAAGTTTGCGAGAAATGTTCTCCTTCACCACGATACCGCATCCTCACATTCCGCTAAGGTAACAGAACTCTATTTGAAGGCTTCAAATGTGGAACTGTTAACTCATCCGCCTTACAGCCCGGACCTCGCACCCTGCGACTTCCAAATATTAAAAACAAACTTAGAGGCACACGTTTTACGAGCCCTGAATCGGCGGTGAATGCGTTCCATAAAGGCATTGAAGAGGTCCCTAAGGAAGACTCGTCCAACTGCATACAGTGGTTTCAGCGAATACAAAAATGCATTAATTGCGAGGGAATATACTTTATCTTATTTATCAGCATCTGGAAACTTTCAGTATGCCCTAAGTATATACATACTTTCCCTTGTTTCATTTATGTACTGTCGATTTGTCCATCCAAATGTTAAACCCTCTATATATACTATATATACTATCCTAACTTCATAAAATATCTATATATAGTTTTACAGGATTCATAGGTACCTTTTTTTTTTGCTGCTGCTTTGCTTTTCTCGCCATACCCTCCGTTGGGAAAACGCAGGACGTGTCTACTCACTAAACCCCGCGGCGGCCTACCTCGGCAGTCGGGATACGAGGAGATCCAGGAACGCATAACGGCTTCTGGAGTCCTCCCTGCCGTACCCCATGTCTGAGGCACATCCCGGGATGACCGTAGTCACTATTGGGCGGGGCGCTGCCACGCCGCTCACTGCTCTTCACAGTAAGAGGCCCAACAGCGGCTCCGCCTTGGACGACAACCCCCGGCCGCACCGGAGTGTCATCTGTCTCGGGTCGTTTGCAGCGGCCACATGTCCCAAGATGTGGCCTCAGCGACCTTTAGGCGGCGACTAGGGAGCTAGTGACCTCTGCCGCGTACCCTTCGCCACTTTCTTTAAGCAGGATCGGCCCTCTCCCGATCCTCTGCCTTCTGGAGCATTACGTCCTCGCAGAAAGATTCTACTCTACGATTAAATTAAATATATCCGTTGCGTAACGGAGTCGAAAACATCACCATCAAGTCTGCATTCGTAACGCTTGTGTCGCCCTTATAATAACCGCTGGTTTCGACGCCCGAGCATGTAAGGTCACGCGCCACTCGTTCGCCGACGATTGCGACCCACTGCCCGCGCCGAGACCTTGAACTAGCTAATCCTGTGCACGATTTATCCCGGAACCTTACTTAACTTTTCTTGTAGGTACCTACATAGTAACTTATATATATATATATATATATGTATCTACTTAATATGTTTCCGGGTAGGTACAGATAATATCAAAACAGAATATGTCTGTAACAAATTTCGACCTGCAGATGAGTTGACCTTAAGAAATTTAAAAAAAAAATCGTGATCCTAACTTTATCTTGAGTTTTTTACCTCGACTTAGATTTACATACATTTAGATCACAAAGTTCCTATTATACAATATCGCCTCAAGCTTGATGAAGGAGCTTGCTACCATTAATTTAACCATAACAATGACTACAATACGATTTAATGATTAACCAAAACATTTATATAAATAATGCATTCCATCAAGACTAGTAGGTACGTACTAAGTATTATTTGGACATAATTATATACAAGTAGCAGTGTTAGAGAAAGATTTAAAAAACACAAAAGATTTACATTAGCCAATGCATATTATACCACCGCCCGACCACTGTATTTGACCAACTTTTTCTTTTCAAAAACTCGGTCTAAAAGTAAAAACCTCCCATTAGCGAAGTATTGCAAACAAACAAAACAAACTCAAATAATTTCACAAGACAAGCACTAGTTTTGCTTCGTTATGCTAATAGAAAAATTAAAACAACGGAACGTAATCGACCTCCATTTTTATTAATATTTGTTGATTTAGGTACTCTTTACTTTAATGTCCAGTAACAAATACAAAAATCCTTCACCGTTTACACTCGTATGTTCAAAATCTAATTTCATATCTACTATTAATCACAGCGTTTACACATATGTTACAACTTATCTTAATATCACAATTTTATAAAAAGAATCACAAGTCTGTCCATCTAGTTTAGTATTTGTTGGCCGGTATAAAATAGTGTCCACTTTCGAAATTCACTTTTGGCCCTACTGCATTTTGTGGGATGAAAAAAATAGATGGTCTTTCTTCACTGTAGTATGATTTAGGACGTCGCTGCACCACTGGAACATATACCGATCTGATCGTAGAAACATCATGTTGAAGAGCATTTAAATCCAAATTTGTGATAGTGTGTTGCCTGATGAGAGGGGGTTGTGTCACAATTATAGGTGGATCTACAGGTTCCTCACTGAGTACTGCCTTGTATCCATTTTTAGGATCCACAGTATATTCTACGGTTCGTTTAGTTCCATCAGGTCCTACCACTGTATAAGCTCCTGTCACGATATCACCCTGTCTGACTTCATGTTTACTCTTGCTATCTCCTGTTGTAGGATCTTGAACGTCATATGAGTATTTATAGTCACTAGGTGAAGGTGGTGGATCTCTCACTATAATGCCAAAAGCAGGCGCAACAAACAGTAGTAGCGAAATCTATAAAAGGTAAAAATGGTGTTGTTAAATAAAATTATAGCGACACAGGTGAATATAAAGTGTCAATATTTGTCAATTACGTACAGGTCTTGTATATATTTGTATATTATCTAAGTTATCTTTAATCACAATCCTTACAGTTGTAACCACATTTATATGATACCTTATAACTTTAATAGACTAACACGAACTTTTTAGCAAAGCTAATATAATATTAAAATCACATAAAACATGATATAAAAATAACATCAATTTTTAGTGGACAAGGCAATTTTTTTATATCTACATACACTATATAAACTATTTTTTCTTGTCTTCTGTTCTTATTTACATGAACTGAACTTGTTTGAACTGAGCAATAAAACAATTAACACTTTATTTTGAGTCTAATTCTATTATTACGGCATAATTACGTCATAATAATTATGTATGTGTCATATAATAAAGTAACACTTTAAGCTTACCCTTAGCATGATGCGCGAACGTTGAACAATAGGGTACGGAGTAAATATAACACCCGCGCGGTGACTGCAGGTTGTATTTATAGAAGCAGTTTGCATTCACTAGAACGTTCCTTATTGGCAACAGGCGTGCGAGCTCGGTTGTTAGCGTTGTTAGTGCATTAATAGTTTGTCGTAATCAGCTTTATTACTATACTGCTACGTCACAAATTGTAATCATTACATGGGATTTTGAGTCGTGATATAATGTTTTCTGGAAATTTTCTAATGAAAATGTAATGTTTGCGTCGTCGCGGCAAGTCTCAAGTAAACGTTTCCGCATCGTAAATGCTTACAGTTTATATTTACGTACCAACAAAACTCTAATTAGATTTTTTTAATATTCTACCGTTGTCTTAGAAATATACGCAGAATTAGACATGAATTGACACACCCCTTGAGAGCAACTCAATCAATCGACAATCTCGTATAATTAGACATGGAAATTATTGCTACTTGGTAATCATATTCATATGATAAAATGATTAGTTTTACTCACATCGATTCCACATGTGATTGTGTTTTGGTCATAGACAAAGAAAAAATGCCATTAAAATTAAAATCAATCAAAATTCTTTTTATCAATCTAACTACCTTTTTTTTAGACTTTACTTTTACTTTACCTTTCTCGAGTCTGACGCTAGCTTAATAATAATAATAAGTCGCAGTGGTTTTGTAAATTTTTCACAGATTTGATTTATAAATTATATGATTTTTACAGATGAATTCGATTTTATTCCATCCCTAACACCTATCACATATTTCTGTCGTGGAAGGGCTTCGGCATGTATAAGTTGGCTCGACTAAAGTTATACCACGGCTTAATAGAAAATCGGTGGTAACATATTCTTTTGTTGCTTTTCAGGTTAGTAAGGTTAATTTTCAGGTAAGTAAAGTCACTGAGGTTACTGTGACCCAACCCCAACTCTTTACTCTAAGGACAGCAATTCACTTCTGTGTCTTGAGCTGCAAATGTCTATGAGCGCCGATACTCACTTACCACCAGGAAACCCTTCTACTTGTTAGCCCCCTATGTCATAAAAGATAAGCACTTATAACAATTGATTGTTTAAGAATCCTCCTACTGGTACGCATATAATATTAGTTAAGAGTTTTAAAATATGCTTTGCATAAATAAAATATGTAATCCACGGTATACGTAATTCGTACACAACAATTATTATCAAACAAATGTTATCACTGTTGCGAATTATTGCTAGAATAGGTACTTATATTATTTCAAAATTTTATGGGTCGTTAAACTCTTGTGAAGCAATTTAACTTGTGGCTGGATCCTAGTTCTCTACGAAATGAACAATAAATAAAATTAAAAATATATTTCTTATTCACTTTTGTCTCTTTAAAGCGCTAGATGTACTCGTATTATAATGTTGGTGATTAGAAGGAGTTAAGTTCTAGCAGTAATCCATTGATTTAACGAAGTTACTAAATCACTTGAAAAAATTAAAATGTAACACTTTATATAAATCAAAATACATTTAAACTTTTTATCAAGTAAAAATAACTGGAAAAAACTGATTGATTAATGGTTGATTTTTGTTATTTTTAAATTTATTTCATTTTAAGGAGTGGTTTGTTATATCCGTTGTTCATAACACTTTTATTATTATTATTTGCATGCTTAATAATTATTATATATATATTATTATTTGCATGCTAAATTATGCATGCATGCATAAGCTCAAATTTGCCCCCTTGTCGCGCGCCATACGTATTATTAATGTTATTGCGGCAAATACAGACATCTACCACTGTAGCCTGTCGAAATTCACAGAAGTAGCACAAAGTTGCGTTATTTCTGACATGTAAATAATTTAAATTCATTATTTCTATCTATATTAATTTGTTTAAATCATTTATAAAAATCATTTATAAAATTATGCAATTTAGATTCTAAGACAATCAGATAACTAGTTATAAGCTTGCAATATTGCCTTGGGAGTATACCTATTCCTGTAAAATATTGTGAATGTATCTAAATAAATATTTATTACAAAATTCCTGGATCTCTTTTTTAATTTCTCTATCTACCAATAAACAAAGTTGACTTTAATATGGTGGTATATTTAAAATATTTAATTATAGAAACACATTTTTATTTCCTCTCTCGTTAAGGTTAACGTTGTGATGGAACCTACATTCTGGGAGATGGGGGGCATCTTTGATTCCAAGTTGGTTGGGGCAGCGCTTGCATTGGCGCGGCTGCTGCTCAACATGAAGGGACCCGATGACTCCTGCAGGAGACTCTACTCGGTCGGTCTACTATGTGCGGTCCATGGCCCTTTATGGGGCCCCAGTATGGGCGGGGGCCCTGAAGGCCAGCAACGTCGCACTACTGCGACGACCGCAGCCAGTGCTGGCCATCAGGATCATAAGGGGGTACCGCACGATCTCCTTTGAGGCGGCGAGTCTCCTGGCCGGAACTCCACCGTGGGACCTGCAGGCTAGAGCCATTGCGGCTCTGTATCAGTGGTGCAAGGAGGCGCGGGAGTTGGGTCGGAGTCCTGAGACTCGAAAAATCGATGACCGGAAATCCCAACTCCGCCGGGTCCTCGTAGGAGAGTGGAAGAAACGACTTGGACAACCGAGCGCCGGGCACGCCGTCATCGCGGCGGTAAGACCGGTTATGGAGGATTCTCCAGGCAATCCTCCATAACGGGTCCCTCTCATACCGACTGACGCAGATGATCACTGGGAAAGGATGTTTCGTGAATCACCTATGTCTCATCCGCAAGGAGCCAACGCCTGAGTGCCACCACTACGATGGTCGGACCCTGGACACGGCGCCCCACACGCTGGCAGAATGCACGGCGTGGGTGGAGCAAAGGCGAGACCTCGTGGCGGCCATCGGAGTGGGAGTTCGCTGGCTCGATAACCTGATTGCGGCTATCGCGAGAGTGCGTGGAACTCTGCCGTCTCCTTCTTACTCTTACTCTGCCGTCTTCTAAACCATGTTTTCCGGTATCACCATCATTAGAAGAGAAAATATCGGCATAATAGTCAGGTCTTGGTATCGACGCATCCAATCCACATTTTCGCAAGTCCCGATCAGTGTTCCCTTATGAATCACGTGTAGCCTGTCACTAAGATTTTACACACGTACTGCAGAGATGTTAGCGCTACTTACTAGAGTTCGTGTGATTTTCTATAGAAGGTCAATCATTATTTAACCTTTCAATAAGTACAAACATATGCAATTGTCCAGAGGTATGAGGAAGACTAACTGGCCAGATTGTTTCTCATCTGGGAGGCAAAACAAATTTGTTTAAGCTGTTCTCTTACTAATAATGCCCCGTCCATGAACAGTTTCTCTTGACTACATCTCATTACACCTTGCTTAATGTCGATCTGACAACCATTCCTACTCCTGAAGTCTAAGCCAAGGATGCAATCGTTAACTATATCAGCCACGATGACGTTATGCAGATAAAATTGGTTGCCCAACTTCAACTCCACCTTCTGTTCGCCTCGTACGAGTATGCGCTGACCAGTGGCTATTACGAGATCTATTCGCTCACGGTTACATGTGATGGCCTTCAGAAACCGATTTGCAAGTTGGGAGCTGACAACTGTGCGAGAAGCTCCCGTATCAATCGTCAGCTTACATGGCGTTCCGTTGATTTTGCCTGATGACCAGGCTGTTCCCATCATGGGTTTGCGAGATTGAAATCCTTGGGGCTCTTTGAACACCAGCCAGCACTCGCCCCGCAATCCTGGCGTTCACTCGTTTCCCTGCTGCTGATGGACAGTGCCATTAGGACGATGACGGACGAAGATGACCCTTTTCGCCACAGGCGTAACATCTACGGCTATACCCCTTAAAACGGTCCCGCACAGGTGACGCCACAACCTCCTGGACGCGATTAGACCGATGGTCTTGTCTCACGGCTTCTACCTCCAAAGCATGGGCTAGGGCGTCCTTAAGAGTTTCATGGTGCCCAAGCCTCACAGCAGCTCTCACTGCGAGGTCACGAATGCCATCGATGAAATCTTACACCAGATTCCCATCAACGAGTGCAGGTGCAGACTGGTATGCCTTACGGACCAGTTTCTCAAATTCTAGGACCCATTGTTGCAAGTTTTCACCGATGCATTGGGCACGATCCTTCAGTTGCGCGCAACACGTGCTCCAGGTGAGCGTCACCATATCCTGCCTCCAATGCTTCCAGCAGTTGCTCATACGTTACCTGCTCAGGCCTCAAGGACGGTTAAGGCCTGATCCCGAAGACCCAAGGTGAGCGCGGTCATAGCCTGTTCCTTAGTCCAGTCATTCGCCGTCACAACAGCTTCAAACTGGATCTTGTAGGCTGACCACCATTCCATCAAATGGCGGCACTTAGAACCCTCGCACCGAAGGAACAGCAGTTACCGTAGTCGCTGTCCCGTTCTTCCAAGCGGCGGGTCTGCTACTTCTGACTGCGTGCTTGCTCCTGGAGCATCATCATTAGGTTCATGATATCTGGAGCCGCTAACGATGTTGACGAAGTGGCTTCCATTGCTGGCTGCTGACCCTCCAGTGTAGGCAGTTGTGCACCTCCAAATCGCCTATTGCTGGCGCTGGCTTCTCGTACGGATGTCTTAAGTGTCTTCTTTGGGTAAAACCGGCATACTTTTATCCCACTTCTGTTACGAGTGGGGTATATATTAAATAAAAGTTTTCCGTTAATTACTTTATTGCACTGTATTTACAAACACCCTATAATAAACTTGAAATCACTATATTTCTCGTTAGTCGCACTAGAAATTCACTCTGATGTTAATTCACTGTGTCGTGAAACGATACTGTGTCGAACGACCAACACGCTCCGCCTTTATAGCGCTATCTAATTTTACTAGAAAGATCCCTAGTATTCGATAGTCCGTCCCAGACAAAAAAGAATATTCCAGAATCAGTCACGCGTTACTTCCAGCGCCATCTAGCGCTGTGAGGATCAGAACTATTAACCACAATCTTAATAGATGTATTTTACTCGATACTAGAGTGCGCTGTCCTTCACAGTCCATACAATTCTTTAACAATCAAACCATTTAATCCTATG